TATATATGTGTGTGTTGTTGTGTGTGTGTGTGTGTGTAAGTAGTAGTATTATATATATATATATATATATATATATATATATAATATATCCCTAAATGGCTTACACACCTAACATCATGGCTATGACCGAGACGGCATACGCGGACACAGTGTTCGCTCTGTTCGCTATGGTGTCCATTGTGTATATGCTGTTGTCACCTAAACCGCTACACTTGGTGTTTGTTGGTTGTCACCTAGAGAGCACTACACTAGGTGTTTGTTTATCAGTTTAAAATCTGAGGTGTACTCTCGTTTTACATTTTTATTTATTTTTATTATTTTATTATTATTTCGTGTGGAATTAAGAATTCTCTACTAGAGAGAGGTCCCGGGGGGGGGGGGGGGGGGCACAGCAGTCAGCAGTAACAAACACCAATAATGAGTCTACGTTGAGATCGATCTGTCACCACAATATATTTATAAACATTCGCAGCCTGTCGGGCCATATCATTGTGTTCTACATATCTGAATGGGTTGTTGTCAACCTGTCAACCTCAAGGCTCAAGCTAGAGTGCACTTGTGCTAGGGTGGTCACTGCTCTCACAACGACCAATACTCGTTCGATAACTAACTATATAGTAGACATAAACAACAATAAAACCCGTAGGGTTGGTATTATATCGTGATGTCTGCTAATATTGATGCAATGGAGGATAGCGCAGTGGCAACAGAAGAAGGCGAATTCGAGGATGATCTCGAGCGACTCACAGATGAGTATAATTCCGATGAATCTGATAATTCAGATACAGATGATGAGGATAGGGAGAATATCATGTATGCGTGAGTGAATATTTATAAGTATTATGTATATGTGGGTGGTGTGCTTGGTTTGAATAAGAATAATTTGTATGCCTGTGTTTAAACCTTACAATATATAGTAGGGAGGACACGATGTATGTGTGTGTTGTGAAGAAGAAATAGATAGAAAGATACCATACAAGTGTGTGATTTTGATATAGATGATGACGAAAAACAAAGATGCTTGTACGCGTGTTTGGTACAGATATTGACCATAGAGAGAGCAACATGTACGAGTGTGTTTGATATAGTTGATATGGTTAGCTCGCACACTGATCGACAACTCCACACAGGCGCGAAGTGTGTTTATGCCAGGCTGCGCGTGAATATGAGTGGACTCGGGAGTACAACAAATCGATA